ATATATACTACCATAACTAAAAGGTAATACGCATTTACAAAATGGTCTTCTCGCCAAACAATCGACTCAAATATTAAAGTACCTGCCCTCGTTTGCATTCAAAATATAATTTCTGTAGATTTCGGCACTCGGTGCTTAACCCAGAGTCCGGTTGTACACACTCGGTCGCAGTCTTTTTATCAACCCTCATACAGTCACTTTCCAACAGACATTGTACAAATTCTTCTCTCAATGGTTTGCACGACATGACGTTTAAAGGATCTATGTACACAGAGCTGTACCCTCGAATAAATCTCTTGGTCAACTGTCTATATAGTTCACTGTTCTCTTCGATTATGTATTAAATATTTATTTATATGTACCCTATATATATAAATATGATATATCTCTGCACACAGTCACAAGTGAGTCAACCAACAGTGTTTTTTTAAATTCCAATATATTTTATTTTTAGTGCTGTCCTCTCTCTCTGACCTTTGAGGCTCAGTGTTCAATGTTGTCTGGGCCTATCTGTTGCGTGAATTTATAGAACTAAAAGTGATGACCAACATACGTTGGAATTTGGAAACGGAGTTGGATAGCATCACTCTCTCAGTCATCAGTGTAGTAGTCCAAAGAGTCTCTCTGAGAGAGTATTTCGTAGTCTGGTGGACATCTGCTACAGTAGAGCTCACTACAACTTTTTAACACAATTGGAAAATTTCACTGTTGTCCCAATTCCCAAGTATATATTATATCGTGCTACAGTACATATAGAGGAACACATTGAGGCTTGAACATACATAAAAACATCTTATTAGAACGGAATTGTTTGTTACAGGAACAAAGAAGTAGTAGCTAGTTCCAGTGGTGATCACAAAGGCACAAGCTAGCAACGCTCACATATGGCGCGCCGTTGCTATTAGAGATTAAGGGGAATAGTGTGTGGTGTATCTTTACAAACATAACATCAATCTGATTAGATATGAACGGAATGATGGCAGAGCCCGAATGGGATAGAGATTCGGATCACGATGAGGAAGGGAAAAGTGACGATGATTCAACTGTGTTTAATGAGCTTAAGGAGACTTTATACAGACGCGATATAGATGCGATTGATAAAGAGCTAAAGGAACTCGAGACCAATACCCATGAAGCGCATAATGCCGAGGTCAATGAATTGGAGATGCAGAAGGAGAAACGACTGGAACAGTGCAAGATCTACTCGCGGTATCTCACACAATGTGTGAATAGTAGGTTCAATAAGCAGAAGAAAGAATCGGAGGAGGCCTTGGCGAAGGCAATTGGTATGCGATGCATATATTAGCACAGTGTGTTGTTCGGTGCGATCAAACTCGACTCCTCGATTTTAATGTTGAATTGTTGAACGTGACAGTACAAATTGTGAACGGCTATACATACTTTAAAAGTTTAAATTCTGTATGTTTTAGGTTGATATAATTGTAGGGTCAGATATTATTGTGAGAGTTAAGCTTCCGTATTCTGTTCAGTTTGACAATGCTTCGATGTCACAGTATGGTCATACACTTCTGTAGTTAACAATATTTTCAGTTTGACAGGAAATGTGTTACGTTTTGTGTAGTACCTTCTCTCAAGCGTAACGTGTATGTTGGAAGAACACTTTGTCTAATTTGTGAGTTTTGTGCTGTACCTTTAATATAGCACAGTGGATCTAACCTGGAGTACAAGCATAACAAATGGGACCTATGGGCAGCTACGAATCGTGCAAAAATTTCTAAATATGTGTGTAGGGGATATTTTAACCTACTCACGATACTTTACACACACTTTACAGATATACATGTATGGGTATTCCTCGATATATATTGTGTTCATGTATATACCGATATCTGCATATATAGCCATCTTTCTATATTAACTATTTTGGCAATATAATATATATATATTTATATATATATATATATGTGTGTGTGTGTGTGTGTTGTGTGTGTGTGTGCGTGCGTGTCGTTTAATATATATATATCTATATCTATATCTATATCTATATCTATATCTATATCTATATCTATATTTATATATATATATATATATATATGCATTTATATATATATGTATGTGTGTGTGTGCGTGCGTTT